ACTGCAATGTACTTTGGCGATTGAGAATGTATGTACAGATTATTTTTATGAACTGTAGGATGATTGCTTTTGTAATTCATATTTGATCTCTGTGTGTGTATGGTTTTTCTGTACACGTGAGTTAGTAGTTTGTTGTGCCGATGAGCATAGCTAAAAATGGAATTTTTCATTGAATTTTTCCTCCTATGTGAAGGGAATTCCTTCGAATGTTTGATTGACTAGTTTAAACGTGTTTTCTATTTCATCTTTCTTGAGAATTAAGAATTTGTTGTCAACGTACCTGATTCAAGTTGTTGGCTTGATAACAAGGCTGACTATGGATTTCATTCGCTGTATCACAACTTCAGTAATCGGTTCTAATATTAGTGATCCTATAGATGTCTCTTTTGTTTGTTTGTCTGTAAACTTTATCGTTGAATTGCAAATCGGTCATGTGTAATAGCTCGATCAGTTCCAGTTCGTATAGTTGGAAAAGGTTGGATCGTTCTTCAGAAGAATAGCCATCGTCTCCGTAGCTTAATCTGAGTCGGTTGAAGTGGACAGTGAATTCACATCAACACTGCAGTAAAGCGAGATGATGCAACCTTATTGGTTCCAATGCATGCAGATAATCACGATAACAAACTCGAATGGGAGAATGTAGAAATCCTCCAATGAGCAAGTTCCAAAGTTACAAGAGAATTTCTAGAAGCATGGGATTCAAACGAAATGTCATGTGGATACAGACCCAATCTACAGTCTTCTACTTGGTAAGAAAAACAGTCATCTATCAACCAAGAGCAAATTGACTGGACAAGTCAATAATGATGCACAGTGTGACAACAACAAACAGCACAATTTCACTCCAACAAAGAATATCTAATGATATGACTGAAGGGAATTTAAGGTCAAAGAGGTGAGGGTGTGATAAAAATATTCTTCTCCAACTGACGATTGGACAACATCGAAGGTCGATAAAAAAGCTATCTAAACATTGGTGTAATATTCGATTAGGCTTCACTTCTGTATGAATTTAGTGCTGAAGATGTCACTGAAGCTAGGGATGGAATGTTCTCGACAAAATATCAAAGCCGAGAGAATACTAATCCACCATGAGTTCATATGTTAGTTTTTTTTAATGCACTGCTAGCCTAGGCATTTATATCTCACCAATCTAAGTATGCTGTGAAAGTTTCTTTTTTAAAAGACACTATTTTGACGACACTTTTATCATGATTAATGAGGAGAAGCTCACTTTCATTTGACGGTTTTCATCTCAATACTGTAAACTTTGAGTAGAGTTTATGAAATATTGCAAGCATTTTAAGTAAAAGTTGAAAATATAAATTAACTAACAGAATGATTCATAGTCAGCGAGAAAGCAAGGCGAATAGTAAGTACAATCATTCAAGAATAAACTGAATATTCCATTGTGGCCAAAAGCAACATATGGTTTCATGGCTGTTAGTTCATAGAATGAAGTCAAGCTTATTTAATCTATTGGAAACTAGATATGATCTTGTACTCTACATTTGTTGATGACTAGTCACAAAATCAGTGATGATGATATTTTAGAGTTGTTTTTACATAGATTCACTTTAGTAGCAACAAAGCTAGACGAATTACATTCAATAGGTAAGATTTTACCTTAGTCTTCAGTGAACTATCTTCACTTTTTTTAATTTATTATTTTTAAAGGTTTTTTCATAGCATACAAATAAGAATATTGTAGTTTATCTTATTTTTATGAACCATTTCAATTACAATGCGATTATTGAGATACAGACAGTTTTCCAATGTACTATGAGGATTCGTTAAGTATATATTCCATTTTGAATTTGTAACAGTATTCTAATTTATTCATTCATACTGTTTTTAGCATTATTTATTTAAGCATTCAATATTTCAGGTGACTGCTTGTTATAGCTTCTTAGTAGAAAACAAATAAATTCAGACGATGAGTCCTAAATAGAACGAAACATGCATTCTGGATTCTACTGTTAGCCACTATCTGTCATTATTATTCTTTGATAATTTCTTAATGTAACCATTCGAACTGATATACTTCATTGATAGGTTTTTTGCGTTGATCTGCTCTATGTCAATGTTCCAGACTGAGGCATCTTCTTGTTTATCTATTGACTTAGAGCAATAGGATTGTATTCAGGAGGAAAAAACACATTTAATGCTCAAATCTTTATACTTTACTTACTGAGATGCTTAAAATGACTATCAACTATGTGACAGCAGTTGAAAGATTTCAACAGAATATGAACAATTGAATTTATTCTTGTTCGCCAGACATGAACATTTTCAGTCTTAATCATTAGCTGATTAAAAGTTCAATCTTAAAGTATTGGTAGTTGTCTGCGTTGATTATCTAGTTGGTAAGGAAATAAGCATACCAGGTGGTATGTTTATTTCATGTAGCTTATGAAGATTTACCGGTATAAGTTTTAAAAAGCTCAACAATTAACGTACAATCGTTGATAGTTTCTCAAGAAATGGGTAGGTAAATAGATAAATAAACTCACACACATTAATACTCTATTCTTTTCTGTCGATACTTGGAATTTCCTGTTTTTGTCATGAATCGAACTGACTGATCCTAATATTTTTTAATGATAATAATAGTAACAATAATGTCTAGTACACGTTGTATAAGAGGTGTTTGAAACAATGAGCACGGGATTCGGTTCTTGATGGGAACATTATCACTTACTGGGGTGAAAAAACAATATAGGTGATGAGTCTCAAATTGGATGAAATATATTTTCTAGATTCCACTACTAGCCATTACTAAGTAAATTGTCAAAATAAGTCATTTGTCTCATTTAAATTTTGGATTCCACTAATTATTACTATGAAAGGTGTTAACTTGTTGAAGCTTGAAATTTGAATAACAAGACTCTGTTTCATCTCCAAGTGAATATAGACTTGTACGTATGGATTTAATCCAGTAGTTTAATTACTGTTCAAAAGTAAACAACTAAACAAGGTATTTAGAAAGGCATTTTCTACCTTTTAAAAAAATAAATTATTTAGTTAATCATCTGAATGAAATATGATCAGTGATAAAGGTTTCAGTGATACAAAAGATAGAAAAAAAATCCTTATTCTTCCGTTTGTGTATTTATCAGTTGTCAAAATAATTACAAGTGACAGTTTTATTAAATGTAAATGACTAACTTCTAAGGTTATACAATACAATAGTATAAAAAGTTTAACGGTAACAACTCCTGGGAATTTCATTTTTTTTTATCGGTTACACACTGACAAATCATTCTACTTGTCTTTAGTTACAGGGAATATCTTTCCAGCAAAGACCTAAGGTTTTCTTTTTCATTCCATATTTTCAGTGTAACTTTTTTGCAGATAGCTTCAAAGTTCACTATTAACGAAAATTAACAGTAGTTCTCAAGATAGTGTACATAACGACTAGGAAAGTGATCCTTCAGAATAGAAGAGGATTACACTGAACGTAGTGTGTTTGTTATGTCCTGTCTCCACCTTTTATAACCTTTTTGTCGCTTGTCATATATATATATATATATATATATATATATATATATATATATATATATATATGAAAGTCAACTGAAACAACATATAATGTTGTTTTCATTAAGAAGTTATGCAAAGATATACGTTTCAGACAAACATTAGAAAATGTGACCAACATCACATCTCATTTCTGTTATCAATGACCATGGAAATGTTGAGTCAAGTCAAGGCATTTTAGTTGCATACATTCTGCAATAATATTTGAGATAATACATCTATTTATGCCTCAATGAATAAAAAAAGTAGCCGTTGATGGCGAACTACCCATGAAGGAAGTGGAACACTGAACGATGAAGCCCTCTTGAAGGTAAGAAGGGTATTCTAGTTTTCTTGATGATGGTAAAAAGACCGTTAGATAAGCCTACTTGTTTATTCAGTAATCAAGTTTGATAACACCGTGGAAAATATTTGTAGCTCAGGTGGATAATCTTGGTTGCTATATTCTGTGAGCTGGGTTGTTTATTCATGAAGCTTTCATTGTATTTCTAAACAACATCATCAGCATTGAGTTGAATGTGATCAGAACACAACCAAGTTTGATGACGCTCAAGGGTTCAGTGATCTGAAATCCTCAGCAAGCAACGTAGCCATAAAGTACTCACTAAAGATACTGTTGATAACAATTTCATGCATACACTAAAAGAAATTTTCTATCACAAATGAAAACAAAACACATCAGAAGAAGATCTTAATACTTCATTATTTCCACTGACGTTCTGGCTTGTGTGGGAGAAATATATCAAATCCTTATGAACACAAAAATGTATTTTGGTGGATTGGTGGATTGGACAGAGACTAGAATTCAGAAAGTGAGAGAGTACATTAATCGGCTAACCGATGTATTTTCTGGCGCTTTGACTGGAGAAGTTGTAATCACAGAGATGGAGAAACTTTAAAACGATGAGGTTAACCAACAGTTTCCAAAATCATATATACTTTTCACACCACTGAAAGACATTTAGTAACCAGACAACGCTTAATCCCAATACAGAAATCTTGAATTGAAGTATATCAAAACATATAACCTTCTGTCTGGAAAACATGTTGTGTATAAAATAAGATGTAGTACTTCTCGATTATACACATGTTTATTCGAGGGAATTACTGAAAGTTATATTGTTCAAAAACTGCAACCAACTATTTATACAAGAGACGACTTCCATGATTCGAATCATGGTGTAGCTAGTAGCCCTGTTTTAAAATAGATGGCAGTGAGGACCACAACATCTTAACATATGCCGAGTGGGATGAAACGGGTTCCTTTATCAACCACCGATAATCTTATGATATTTTCCTTCAGGATTTTTTTAAATGGTGGGGGGATGATTAACTTAATATAATCTTAGTAGTTACATTTATTTTGTAAATTTTTATTTAAGTAACACATCAGCATCGTCTAATTACATAGTCTGTAGACGAACAAACGGAACCTTACTCATTACTATCCTTAATTGTAGATGAGAAAATACTTATTCCCCAGAACAATTCAACTTCTCACTTCATATCAGATTATTTGTCTTCTGTCAATTTGTATACAAGCATCAAATCGCTGCATGACACTTGTAAACAACGATGGTCTACCAGTGCTGATGTGTGATCATGCGAGACTCAAAACAGATTCACAGATTGACCCCTCAAGTTATAACGGACAAAATGAGTTGATCCTAGAGTCGCTTGATGATAATGAACGATTTCGACAACCACAGTTCGATGACTCAAATATACCAGATAAGCGGGCGTTTGTTCGCTTGGGAAAGAGAGGATTCGTTCGAATTGGCAAGCGTGGATTTGTACGGATCGGGCGATAGTAGACCGTTTCATAATATATGTGATGACAGAGAAAAAGTTTCAGATTGGAAACATTCTAATAACTCAATTAACCAACAATTTTTTTCTCGAGAATAAATCCAAAAACACTCTGTGTAAATTTTACACTACTGATAAGAGATTAACAATCACACAAGTTTATTCACAGTGAGGAAGTAATAAAATATTTTGTTCGTAAAAGTGTCATTTTTTTGTCTGAATGAAATGGGTGGAACGGCTTAGGTAGCATCTTGAAAATCGCCGAATCACTGACTTACTTTATGCATGTTGTCTTGCTGTGAAGACCAAAACACATCAAAAAAGGCATCCACAGTTTCATGCCGAAAATCTGCATTTCAAAGATGCAACATACATACTATATTATCGAAAATCAACCAACTGACTGACTGGGTGCAATATGAAGAGAATAACTATTGCCTCACACTAAGATTATACCGTCAGCAAACTCGATATCAGGCCTCCATTTAGGGTGGGAAATCAGGTAGCATACCCTAACATAAGTGAAAAATTAGAATCAAGTAGAGAGCTGAAAAATTACTCAATATGTATTATTATTTGTCCCCTGTGGTTTCTAGTGAAACATAGAGAACATAGAGCTCCCCATGGGAAGCGACGAGTTGGGCGTCCGAGGTGAGGGTGACATGGAGGAGATCGTACGAGGAGGAAACGAGAGCATGTGGGCTGTCGTGGAACCAGGTTCAAGGATCTCAGAGAACAGAGTTCACTGGAGGTGTGCTACTGAAGCCCTATGTTCCATTAGGAACCCAAGGGAATAATAATAATAAAAATAATAGTTTATATTTTTTACTAATTATCTATTGGGTTTCTAGTGAAACATAGAGCTTCAGTAGCAAGTCTCCATTCCACTCTCTTCTCTGCAATCTTTTGAACCTGGATCCATGACTGCCCACAAGCTCTCATTTCTTCCTCACATGACCTCCTCCATGTCACCCTCACCTCGGATGCCAAACTCATCCTTTACCATCTGGGTTACATTTTAGGGTCTGGCCTGGTGCGTGATGTCACCAGTTGGTCTTCTCAGTGCATGCTCAATCCATCTCCACTTCCTTCTGCATATTCGTAGGGCGATAGGTTGTTGGTTGATTCGTTGTCAGCCAGGCAGAGTTCCTTGTTGCTTATTCTTATTATTCTGGCCATCTGAGCTTCAGTAGCGCGCCAGCGTAGGCGGCAGTTGTTGATGAATATCTGTAGTTTGTTAAAAGTGCTTTTAGTGACGCGCCAAGTCTTTAAATCATACAGAAGCACTGACTTGACTGACTTAGTGTTGAAAATCTGATTCCGGATGTTGTTCATGCTTTATGCTGAGTGCAGTAAATCTCCACACTGGTTCCAAGTTAATGAGCACCTGTCTTGCCTTTCCGATCCTGGTTTTGACATTCTCGTCTGTATCGTCTGTAGTTGAAACGATGTTGCCTATGTAGGGGTGTAGATGAAGGAGGCTGCTTCCTTTAAGTTTCTCCCACTGATGGTGATTGGAGCTTGTAGTTATTGTTGGTGGCGTTAGTTGGGTATCATCATCACCTATATCTTCTCTACGTTCGCTTGAATAGTGTCCTGTCTTCGCTGCCTCTAACAACTATTCTTGGCAACACAAAATCTTACCGGTATTGTCATGTAAGCGTATTTCTCACAAACTATCACTGGGCATAGTCTTATCTGTTGAAATGTAGGTAACTGTCCCGTCACAAAAATCCTGGTCAGCTCTAGATTATGGTCTGAGAGAGACACTGGAGAAAGCCGGCATTAGGTTGTCTAGGCTGCATGTCTCATTGGGCGTCACTAACAAAACCCATTTCATGCTCATGCCATGTTATATGAGCATGATATTATTATGAGGATTAGTGGAGATTCCGGTTAAAGATGCAGGTTTTTAAGTGATACGCTCATCGTCCTGAAGGTCTTCAAATACTGGCTGGTGAGTATTGAGACACTTGCCTCACAGACTGTTTAACAATGTATCTTGTAGACTCTGATACTAGTGATAGCTATAACTCGTTTATTCTGATTGTGTTTGAACACGAAGGCATACTATCTGGTGGGACGATCGGTACAACAGAATAGCCTAGACGTAAGATCTATATCTATGACAACCACCTCTTCGGAAAGCCTAATAAGACTATTCTTATTATGCAGCAATGAAGATCAACAATATCAATTCTAAACATTAAATTCGGTCTTCTAACGACTTGCTCACTTTCGTATTAAGTCACACTGGTAAGTATAGCTATATATATCAGATATCCTGCGTACACTAACGAGAACAATGACTTCTCATAGTAAGATTTGCCTGAGTTTTGAATGAACTAGTAGACAGAAGACACTCGATAAACACATCGATGATGTTTTCGTTTAAGAATGATACTAACCAGAGGTAAATTTTTGCCATTACGAAGCTGCAGTAAAATATCCTTATTATTGTATCAACAGTCAATCAGTCTTATCTTGTCATCAGAATTACTGTTTTAAATGCTCCAATTACTAGGCTGCTTGTATATTTAGCATCAGAATCATTATATGAGTTATACTTGAATCAGCTAGGCAGGGAATTATTGACTCGATTGCAACTCTACCCACTCCATTCAGTTGTAGATTCTAGGTTCTGATATGCTTTGCTCGGTATAGTAGGCGATTAAGACGCATATTTGCAATTATTTTAAGTAATGGAAGTATCAGGGACTAGCATTGAGATGGTTTCCTCTTAGAGTGGACGTGGTTATGTCAACTGTGAATCATATTAGAAGAAACCCTGCACATTATAGCATAACAACTGTCAAATGAATTGGGCCGAGCGCAAGTGAGTTACAAGAACATATATACTTTCAGGTACCACCTACTTCAACCCCATTAAACCACCAAACTAGTGAAGACCACATAACATTATTCACATTGACTGCAATAGAATGATACATCAATTGCATTTCTGGCTGAGTAAGATGGACTAGACATGGAACTGCATCAGTTCAATATAGCCTTCATGTCAGATGGCTATCCTAATGAAAGTTGAGACGAAACTCGCTCCCAATCTGTTTCTCATGCTTAACAGTCAAGCAGTATTTCACTCAAGAATTTTACGTGGTATCAGAGAGTTTGTAGACCCTATCAACAGTGTCTGTTTTCAACTGTTCAGGTGGGTGTTATCAACGGTTTACTAAGTTGCTTCTATCCCTGTTCGGTGTTTCCTGTTCTAATTAGTCAGCCCTTACAAAAATATCAGCTTTTAATATATAACAATCAGATAACACCAATCACCTTATCCCAGACAATACAATACAGTATGGAATTCGTAGTGTGATATTTCAACAAATTTACTCCTCATAATGTAAACAACCATCGCAGTTAAATCATATTAATAGTAACCGTATGATGAGCATAATACAAAGAGAAAAATTGTTTTTTGGTTACAGTCTAGTTTTTGGGAACGTTTGGTTTGGAGATGCGAACTTTGTTTTATGGGGGAAAGAATAGAAAAGCACCCCTAAGTTCGATAGTGAAGGATTATTCAACCAATATAAACATTTCCGCTTACTGCTAACAACTATCCCTGTAATATAAGAATATATTTTAATATAATCTCAGCGCGTTTAGAAAAACAAGGTATTTCTGGACGTCTCGCTGGGATTGTCTCAAAGTATATTCTGATAATGATCCAATCAGACGCGGAGCTCAGCTTCTTCCAGGACGTTTGTAACAACCATGGTCTGCATGTTTATATCCCTGTAATAGTTATGTGATGAACTGCTGTGCGCTCAAGAGCTTACTGTCAATGACCGGGATATTTTTTGTGATTTTGCCGTTAGCTGATGTGACGACAGGTTGGAGACACTTTAATAATGCTTAAGAGTGCATTTTATGACTTGTTGATTGCAATACATCCTGTACCATCTGAACACCTAGTCTCGCTGATTGTCTGATAGACTCGATTTTGCAAGCTCTCAAATCTGTATAATATTCAACAGTTAATGAGGATTATAAATATCTCATTGTGAAGTGTACATATTGAAAAAGCCGTCTCACAGTGAAAGTCTATAATCTGACCCCCTAGGATCTACGTTACAACCCTTAGCTCTCAAGACGTGATGCCGAGCGAAAAACTGACAGTTTTTTCAAGACCACTAAGAATCTGCTGAATTGTTAGATGGTGTGCATCAGATCATCAGAAAAACAATTCTAGTGAAGTTCATTAAACTACTCGTCTGTCTGTAACCTTGAGAAACCTCCTTCATTCGCTTTTATTTCGTATTTCAATCTAATTAACACCTATACTTTTGTTACTTCCAGTTTGTACACAACACAAGAGCCAACAGAATGCTATTCACTGGGTAGTGCTGACAGTAATTTATGTATCATCAAGTGGGGAAATTTTTCGAAATCAAAAAGCAAATGACAGTCGTAAAGTTGACTTGCAGTGATATCAGTTTTCGTCCGTTGTGGCACCACTCGGACGAAGCCAGCTCTCATTTATCTCGTCATGACATAAACCTAACCATCTTCATCACAGTTTTTTTCACAGCGCCATGCACTTTTACTCTACCAGGGTGCTAGTGGATCACTTGTATGCTAAATCTGGGGATACGAGCAGACAGTACAATCATTTTGGTGACCCGTGACAACTAGCTGACTGGAGAGGGCATGACCAGCATCGAGTGGATAACCTCTCAGTTGTAGTCAACGATATATTCTTTAATTGCAATAACCTTGGACACTGCTTCGCATCTTTTAAGTATACTCACAAAACCTCACCAGAAAATAGAGTTCATGAAGGGTGTGAGGCTAATGAGTAGTTCATCTGCATTTATCAAACGAGGAATGGCAACATAAAAGCTTTGCACTTCGCAAACGCCGTTCAAGGGAAACACTAATGACTGGTTTCGAAACCTACTTGGTCTCTGCGTGTTTGCTGTTTCCGAGCTTCAGGTTAGGCATTAGATTAATAAACACATCAGAAACCTGAACACAATTCAAATCGAATCTATTCCTGAATGGTTATCATGTCAAAACCTCGCTCCTCCTTTATAGTGTGGCATACACCCATGTTTTGTCATGAAATGCCTGTGATTCAGTTTGGCGTAGGGTTAAGAGGTGGAAAGCTGCACTTCAAAAATCGACAAAATGGTTTCAAGACACTAAGAACGGTAATCGGCTGGTGGGTATCTTTTTCA